GTGTGCTCTCTACTTTTATTTTTATATATGTCAGGTCACTTGGTTATGCTCATTTGCTTTGCTTCCGTGTTTTACTCTGATTAAAATGAGCTTTACTTCATGTACTCTTGCTTAATTCATATCTATTGAGTACACCATGTTGGCTTGGGTCATATAAGCATGTCTAACCCTTTTGTTCTTATTGTCAAAAGCTTATATGAACCAAGCATGTTGAAAACCTCACTTATCTCTTTTACATACTCGAGGTTGTGTTGTCATCAATCACCAAAAAGGGGGAGATTAAAAGCATCTAGGCCCTTAGTTGGGTTTCGGTGATTAATGACAACGCAAGATTACTATGATTAATGTATGTTTTGCAGAGGCAATTTAAGTTAGGTCATGGTAATGGCAATTGTTTGGGCAATCATGGTAGTCATGCTCCCTGATAATGGAAATCGTTTCAGTTTTCAAAGGATGGACGACAAGGTTAAGGATAGACTAGTTCTAAGTGTCGTTTGGTGTTGAAGAGACACTTAGAATAGTTTAGGACTTTGTTTTTCCTGCGGCCATACTATTAAAGGGGGGTATGGACTAGTAGCATGACCTAGGTGAGTCTAGTGGGTTAGGTGTGGTGTACACTTGTCAAACCTGGCACTAGGTAGCTCAGGAGTAGCCCTAAGATCAATTGGAGTAAACTTCATTCACATAGGATTTCGAGTTGGAAGTGAATGGAGGGTCAAATGATTGACCGGACGCTGGTCTGGTTGTGATCGGACGCTGAAGGATGAGTTCAGTCAGTTCATTTGATCAACTGGAGCCGTCTAGTTGCGACCGGACGCTGAGTGAAAAGTGATCGGACGCTGGGTGCCTGTGTCCGGTCAACTCCAGAGAGGTTCCAGAGAGGGAGTTTCCTGATTGGACGCGTCCGATCAGTGCTGACCGGACGCTGAATAGTGAAGTGATCGGACTCTGGGTGCTAGCGTCCAGTCAACATAAGTAAGGTTCCAGAGAGCGTTTTTCTTGACCGGACGTAGGTTAGAGTCCGGTCAGAACTTAACGGCTCTTCCTGACACAGTGACGGGGATAACTGACCGGAGCGTCCGGTCACCTCGTAGAGTGATGACTCAGCCTCCAAACATTATGTTTTGAATGAGGGGGTATAAATTCTTACTCCACTCGTCCAAGGGAGGTCTCTTGCCCATTTGTTCAGCTGAGAAACACCCTTGAGAGTGCAAAGGAGAGCAAGAGCCTAGTACGCAACGAGCGGGGGCTCGGGGCAAGTTGGACTCGCAAGGAGACCGAGTACGCGGTCGCATATCAATGACGAATCGATCGGTTCCTAGGGAGGGATCAGAATCAAGAGAAATCTTTTGTGACCCCCCGAGACCCGCAGCTGCATGCTCCCGAGGAGTCCGATCACAATAGAAAGGAATCGCAACCCTACCAAGACATTCCGCGAGCCACGAAGGGAGATCAAACCCTTAGAATCCTTCTGTCTGAAAAAGCCTTCGAAGAAGTATCCTACTATTCCGCAAGCTTGGGGGCTACTATCGGGTATCAGGATTATGGATACCTGTAAGAAGGAAGCTGATGGCCGCGAATGCTAACTCCCTCAAATGGTCAAGAGCATATCTTGGTCTCACCTAGCCCTGAGGGTATTGGCTCAATCTCGTCCGACCTCGAGGGCACGAGATCTGGGTCACCTGACCTCGAGGGCACAGGCTCCATCTTCCTCGACCCCTCGGGCGAGAGCCCCATCACACCCGACCTTGAGGGCGTGGGCTCCGTCTCGCCCGACACCTCGGGTGAGAGCCCCATCATGTCTGACCCCGAGGGCGCGGGATCCGCCTTGCCCGATCCCGAGAGCATGGGCTCCGCCTTGCTCGACCTCTCGGGAGAGGGCTCTGCCTTGCCCGACCCCTCGAGCGCGGGCTCTGCCTCGCTCGACCCGACGGGAGTCCGCACCGCCTCCAACCACTACGGGTCTAAGGGTACGAGCACATGGTCAAACTTCTAACACCAGAAAGAGAGTAGGCGTTCCTTGACGTGACTCATGGCTGTGACGGGTCACGTCTGAGGACGCACGTCGCCAACAACGTCGGCGCGTGCCGGCGCTGTGGTACCTACTCCCTGTACTACCTTCGGCGGGGGCATTAGCTAGCCATATCGTCCGTAGGGATGGAATGGGACGTCACGATGCCTGCGTACGGCACCGGTACTGAACAGGGTCACGACGTGGAGCCATCCCCGTCATCATCTATAGGGCCAGGGGGACCAGCATAAAGGAAACGAAGGGCACCATGACGCTGGAAGCCTTCTTCCCCCTCACTTTTCTCTCTCCCTCTCATGTAACCTATGCCTTCCCCTTCATCTATAAAAAGAGAAGCAGGGTGCCCCCTGAAGGGGCACGATAGGAGATAACACATAAACATCTCATCATCAACCCCATTCGATTTTTTCCACCGGAGACTTGGGATCCGCTCCCTCTCTCGCCTGTTTGTAACCCCTACTGCAAACCAGTGCTGGTAACACGAGTAGCAGCGAACTGGACGTAGGGACATTCTGCTCGAACTAGTATAAATCCTTATGTCCTCCGAGCACAGCCATCCGGGATAGACGTGCAAATCATAAAATTTACTAGCCGGTGATACGAAACACCGACAACTAGGTTCTAATGCATATGCATGGAATTCAGTCACCTAGTGACACTTGACAACCGTATTAACCATGAGAATTCTCCTCTTAATAGTATGACTATCGATCATAAATCACTCACACCCTCTATGGTGTCTTGAGTGTAAATAAAAAATGGCTCCTATCAATATACCTTTGCCTTGAGCCCATTTTTGTTTTTCTCTTTCTTCTTTTTCCAAATGTGAAGCACTTGATCATCTCTTTGCGGTCATCACCTTCACCATGACCGTCATCTAGCTTCTCCACTTGGATTGGACTACCTCATCTAATTTACACACTTAGATCAAAGATTAGTCCTAGGTTTCAAATTATTCAAAACCAAACCTAGGGTTTTTAGCGGGGAAGGGGAAGGCGAACGGAGGAGGTGAGAGGTAGGGAGGTGACGAGCTCGCTCACCGCGCGCTCCACTCGCTCCACCGGACCAGGCCGTGAAAAACAAACCCCCCCTTCGTTTCCTGGGAGCCAGGCCCTTGTGTGCTTTGAACAGCGTGCGAGCCGAGCTGGGAAGCGGTCCAAGCATACCAAACATGCCCCGATTGTACACACGGGCTTCATCTTCGTATCTCTTCAGTTTTGCAACAATGGCCATCACATGCACTACGTGCTTGATTTAGATTGGCAATGGATGAATATATGATTTCCACTCATTCTTAACAACATCCAAACCTCCACGAGCTACCTTCACAAAGGTATAAATCTCCAGGTAAATGATGGCCAAAAAGTCTTTTGCAATGTTTCTATGTGTGTATAGCAGCCTACTAATCAGACCCAAACTGGATTAGGTGTTTTCATGCTCGCTACTCCTACACATAGCCTTTGCATAACATTTTTTTCATATTTTCATTTCATATTACATGAAAACCTTGGAGCGTGGAAGCATATGCAGTGCTACCCCGGGGTCGAGCTAGCCGCTGCGCTAAAAAAAACTTACAGGTGGTCAACTTTCTCACTGACAATGAGGTGGTGGTAAACACTATCCAAATATTCTCTTCGCTGGTTTCTAGGACCGGTCCTTGCTGAACTGGCAACAAATCACTTAAGGAATGCAACATTCAATCATCGAGGTTAAAAAGGAAAGGGTAAAGTATAATTTACACCCTCCAACTTTCATCAAAATATGGATTTCAACCTCGAACTTCAAAACCGAACAACTTTGGCCCTCCAACTCTCGAAAAAGTTCAACTTTCAACCTCCTGAGCGGTTTTGCAGATGAACAATAACTTTTGATATTTTCGGGAGCGCCGAAATTTTATATTATTTTTTCGAGCATCTTAACGTCCTCAAATGAAAAAACTAAAAACTACAAAGTTGTAGATCTCATCGAGGTCTACAATTTACATATAAAAATTATCTTCATCTGACATCGTATTGAAGGGTTTTCTATTTTTTGAAATTTGAGTCTTACCACGCGATAAAATATGGTGCTGAAATTTTATATTATTTTTTCGAGCATTTTACTGTCCTCAAATGAAAAAAATTAAAACAATAAAGTTGTAGATCTCATCGAGGTCTACAATTTACATATAAAAATTATCTTCATCCGATATCATATTAAAGGGTTTTCTATTTTTTGAAATTTGAGTCTCATCACACGACAAAATTATTTCACGCGTTGAAAGTTGAACTTTTTCGAGAGTTTGAGGGCTAAAGTTATCCGGTTTTGAAGTTCGAGGTTGAAATCCATACTTTGATAAAAGTTGGAGGTGTAAATTATACTTTACCTAAAAGAAAACAAATAAAGTTGTTGATAAGCTCGCGAAGCAGGCTAGACAAGCAAACATTACAACCTGTTGTCTTTATTCATGTGAAGCTATTACGCACTCTTGTTTTTGTAATGTGCTTTATTCATATGAAGCGATTACACACTCTTATCCAGTTAATGTGCTTTATTCATAATAAGCGATTACACACTTCTGTCTTTTTAATGTGCAACTGGCACTTCAAAACTTTCGTTTCCAACCCATCTTTATACTTTGATTATAACTAATACCACATTCTGTCCTAAATCACAGGTCGTTATAGGTTTTATAATTATATAGCTTTTGATATGTTTAAATACATAGTAAAAATTGTATATGTATCTAGAAAAGTCGTAACAACTTATAAATAAATTAGAACATGGAGTAATAAATATCTTTTATTTACCTTGAAAAGGGGGGGTTGTTGGGTGGGAAATATTTACACTGTCCCCGGCTTGCACAAACAGTACACCAGTCACACCACGTCACCGCCCTCTCCAAATCCGACCGGTCCCCGGAGGCCCGGACGGCTGAGCTCGAGTCCTCGCGCGAAGTCGCTGGTGTTGCCGCTAAACCCCGGCCGCCGCCATGCGCCCCTTCCTGACCGCCGCATGGCCGTGCGCTATCCTCCTCATCCTTGGCAGTGCGCTACAGTCGCCGGCGGTGGCGAGCTCCGGTGCCGGCCGTCTGGAGTGGCAGGTCATGACCAGGGCCAACTTCTCGTCCCAGATCCGGCTCCACCCCCACGTCCTCCTCCTCGCCACGATGCCCTGTGAGCCCTCCTGTCCGTGCCTGCATCTGTTTTCTGACGAGTTCCATAGTCGCTTAGGCCTTGTTGAATACCCTCGTATCATGTGTTGGTATGGATTGGGGTGGAACATAAATTGATTTACACCTCAATCTACCTCAGCGCATGTGGATTGAGGCGAGTATGAGAGTATCCAAACAATGCCTTATGTGGTTCAACTAAACAAACTTATTGTCTTCGAGTGAATCTGTATAGTACAACTCATCGTATCCATAAGATTACCGCAGTCTATCGGAAATGACAATGCAAAACGTGGCGATTCACAGTGACCCAGATGCTTTACAACTGAATTCCCCTAAGCATTTTATGTAGCCGGTCTGTCCCCTTTTGCATTCGAGCTGTGTAATTAAGCTATGTACAGTGTTTGCATGGCTGCGAATCAAAATCTAGCGTTTGCTGCATATATCTGGTGTATTTGCCTTATAATGTGCTCTGAGCCTCTGATGCTCCATCATAGAACATGTGGGCACAACATGCCATAACCTGACTGTTATTGTTACTGATGTCAATCTGCAGGGTATGGTGAGTCCAGATCACTGATGGCTGACATAGAACGTTTGGTTGGTTCCAATGAGGAGCTTGGTCGCCTCAAGCTGATGGTTGTATACAGGAATTCTGAAAAGTTGCTGACAGATGCTATTGGTGCTGCTGAAGGAATAAAGGTGGTATACTACCACCGTTCCATGCAATTCAAATATCAAGGGAAGCTTCGTGCACATGATATACTGTCTGCAGTGCGCTATATCATGTCACTTAAGCATGAGGAGGCCCCTTTTGAGGTTTTGCATACACAAGAAGATGTGGAAACTTTCATTGAATCTACCGATAAATCTGTAATCCTTTATGAATCCTGTGGATGGTTCACCAGATTGGCTCATGGCGGGAGCAACCAAAGTTATGAGGCAGCTTCATCAAATAACCACACAGAAAATGGTTTGTCTACTCTTTCCTTCCATATTCTATTCAGCTTTTGAAGCATTATTTTTATGTTTCTTCCGAGAGAGAGAGAGATTACACTTTGTTGAAACCTTAATATTTAGCCTGATAGCTATGAGCCTTCGAAAGCAATATTGGCACTTCAGTAACTGTCAGCCAACCTGGCAAACTGCCCCCCCCCCGCACTTTTGTGAGGACCAGGTATTTGTAACAACTCACAGCCGTTGAACTCCCATGAACAGATGCATTCCCTATGCTTGTGCAACGCAAGCTGTCAGTGGCTCAGTGCATCCAACACTAGTTGCCATCCCCTCGTTGACAACGTAATATTTGCAAGCACCAGTTGCCAAATGCCAGTCTGGCCACATGGGCACGACTTGTGGATCTCCTCATCCTGGCCTTCTTGTTTTTTCACCAACATGAATATGCTGCTTGCCTTGCTGTCCTCTCTTCTGTCGCTACACTCATGAGCTGTCACATGGTTACGCCTCAAGCCAGGCTGCTGCCTACAACAGCAACTCCACAAGGCTCTAGTGTGACCAGTGGCGTAGCTAGGATTTTAGTCTACGGTGGTCCAATTTAATATAAATCTTTTCTTAGCCATCTATTCTCAGTTGGATGCTTTGTTGATTGTGCAAGCAGCTCATCACTGTTTGTTTTAGATTCAGAATTAGTAATAAGAAAGATAGTTTCATGAGAAAACAAAACAACCCACCCAATTACCAGGATATAGTATGCCTTTTGGTTTACCCTTTTCAAATTAATTTCCTCTAGTCTTTGTCCATTTCATGCACTACTGGCTCCCTGATACATCTTACACAAAATCTTTTTAATTAAGGATTAAGTCCACTTTTGGCCCCTCAACTATTGGGTTCGTCTAATTTTGACCCTCAACTACAAAACCGTCTAATGCTGGTACCCCAATTGTCAAAATCGTTCACTTTTAGCACCTGGACGCGGCTAGGGCTGTTTTGTCCAACGTGGAGCGGGTTTGACCACGCCACGCTCGCGTTGATCGCCACGTAGGACGTTGGCCTCCATCTAGTGACATGTGGGGCACACGCGTCAACCACCCATCCCCTCCCTCTCCATCCTCACGATAGCGCCCCCACGCCGCCTCTGGCCCGAGCATCACCGGTGCCATCCCCCACGGTAGCGCCGCACCTACATCGCCACCACGGCAGCGCCACAACCCATGGGCGAAATCCCGACGCCGCCTCCTAACTGCTGCAACGCCACGCGAGCAGGGCCATCGCGTCCCGCTCGAAGCTCGTACTCTACATCCTGCTCGTCCCGCTCATTGCCGGCCACCGCCGCGTCCCTTGCCGGCGCGCCACCGCGTCTCGCCGCGCGGCCACAGCGCGGACGCCTCCTCCACCTTCCCCGAGGCGGCGAGCTCGGTGGGCCTAGAGATGGGCGCGGGCAGCGGTACCAGTGCGCGGAGCAAAGCGGAGCTTCGCCGAAGCAAGCGCTCGAGGAGTTGTTGCGCGCCACCAATGAAGGCAGCGGCGAAGGCGAAGGTGGAACTCGATGACGTCGAGGAACGCGCGCGCGCGCGGCCGCGGACATCTGCGCGGCGTGAACGGAGGTCAGTCATTTGAGAGAAAGCACAAGGCCCGCTGCAAAGGCGCGCGCGAGTCGCTGGAGAAAGGAGGACCGACGGCAGAGCGCCGCCGGCGCCAAGTGGCTTGGCGTGGTCGTCGAAAAACAACTCGGGCGGCGGCAGCTATCGCTCTCGCCAGAGCTCAAGTTGCCATGGGCCGAAGGCCGCTGCTCAGCCAGTGAGGAGAAAGAAAAAAAGCGGCGGCGCCATGTGAGCCGACCGACGGCAGAAGGCCGCCGCGCGGCGAAAGCGGCTTAAGCGTGGTTGTCGGCAACAACTTCGGTGGCGGCGGCCCTATCGCCCTCGCCAGAGCTCAAAATTTGCCATGGCGAAGGCCGCTCGCCTTGGTGAGGAGAGAGAGAGAGGCGCAGACGCGTCTGGTGAGGGAGAAGAAGAAAGGCGTGGCGGCTTTGTCTGCGGAGCGGACCGACGGCAGAGCGCCGCCGGCGCCAAGCCGCTTGGCGTGGTCGTCGAGCAGCAACCCGGCGGCGGCAGCCCTTGTCCTCGTCGGAGCTCCAAGCCGCCATGGCCGAGCCGCTCGCCGTCACCACCTCGATCTCCCTCCTCTGTCGCTCGCTGCTCGGCGCCGGCCATGGCAATGGCCATGGTGAGCTTGGTCTGGCGCAGGGAGGCGACTGTCGCCGTAGCCTGCTCGTGCGCCGCCGCCGTAGCCTGCTGGTGTGCCATCGCCGTAGCCAGCTCGCCGCCGTTGTCTCCTTCACGCACGCAGGAACGGGAGGAAAGAGAGGGCCAGCGTGGCATGGTCAACGCCAGCGTGGCATGGTCAAACCCACTCCACGTTGGACAAAACAGCCCTACCCGCGTCCAGGTGCTAAAAGTGAACGGTTATGACAGTTAGGGTACCAGCATTAGACGGTTTTGTAGTTGAGGGTCAAAATTAGACGAACCCAATAGTTGAGGGGCCAAAAGTAGACTTAATCCTTTAATTAATGATGGTGCTTTTCATCTTCTGATATCAGATTCTATATTCTTTGATGTGCTACAGTTGACATTTCTGGGAAGACAATGACCAGAGAATCAGATGGGCCACTAGAGCTTGTAAGTGTAGTGAAGAAGGTTGCATTTAAATCTGATTAATTAGCTACTGCTATGTTTCTTTGAGAAGAACTATCTGAACTATGAAGATTCAGCAAATATCAGAAGAACAATCCCTGAAAATATACTTATTTGAGATGACAAACAGGTTATAGAGAATGAAGAACAAACCCTTGGAGTTGGAGGTCAGCTTACTGGTTCTCCTTGGAAAGGTGGTTTTGCCTTGGCAAACGAAAGTGTTTCTGAACAAATTGGAAACACAAATGATGGATATAGAAAGTGTACAATGCAAAAGTTCCATCAATTTGAAAGTTTCTATGCAAAGCTTACTGCTATAGCAAGAGAATATTTGCTTCCCCCAGAAATAGCTAAATTTGGTCTTATAACCGAAAGATCATTGTTGCCTTCACTGGATGTTGTTAATGAAGGCAACCAGGAGACATGGTTCGTCACCACTCATCATATGGGATGCAAAACTTGTTCAGTTATTGCGAAAGATGGTGATGATCTGAGAAGTCTAGTGCAATCCCACCATAATCTCGGCATTAAGGAGGTAAGTGAATAATGGTTTGGCGCACCTCTAAAATAGAATCAAATACACATTAAATGTTATTCAGTAGTATGAAATTACCATTTATTTCCATCCATTGTTAATGTCTCTGTAAACTATAAGTATGCTAGTAGAATAGATAGTAGAAGAATAAAGTGCAGTGCCAATATCCCTTTTGTTATACTGCTTACAGTTCCTTTGTCTATCCACAACTGTGCAGCCAATTACTTTCTTATTTATTTTTTTAAGCTTGATACTTTCTGTTATTTTAACTTTTGAAAAATATTTGCAAAATCTGTACTTCTTTCCTGAAAACTCTCCTAAACTGTGGTTTTTAGGTGAAGAGAATACATAGTACATAGTACATACTTTACACTTGATACTTCACTGAGTTCGTGATTTGTTGATCTTGATGACTTAATATCTTGTTTTATTGGCCAAAGGAATTTTCTTGCAAAATCTATACCTCTTTCTTGAAAACTCTGCTAAACTGTGGCTTTTAGGTGAACTTTACACTTGATACTTTACTGAGTTTGTGGTTCGTTGATCTTGATGACTTAATATCTTGTATTATTGGTCAAAGGAATTTTCTTGGATGAATATTTGTATTATGGTATGCCATTTTGTTTTTCATGTGGCCTATGTAGTCTTTTAATTCTTACATGCATCAGCCCATGACTTTTGGGTTTCAATGTTATATGCGTAGGTTAGTGCTGATGAAAGTGGTAGAGAGGCTATCTTCCCCACAAACAGGCCCTCTGTAATTCTATTTATTGATAGATTATCCCACTCTTCAAAAGTCAGAGATGAAAGCAAATTAGTCATCAAGTTACTAAGGCAGTATGTGCAAAATAATTACCCATTTCATGTCAGTAATGGGGCTCTAAGTAGCAGTACCTCCAAAACACGCTTAAAAGCTGTCCCTTCTTTGAGGAATACAGGTATCTCAGATGCCTATTCTCAAACAGCAAGGTTGAGTGCTTGGGCCTCTAAGCTTATGGCACTTGGGGACAAAATGTCAGTTATGGTGGTTAATGATGGAGATAGTATTTCTTACAGAAGTTCTAGCCAAGGTAGTGGTGCTAATCCTTTATACGATGTTCTGACTAAGTTGCTACACAAAGCAAGACCAGGGCATAGGTCAAAGAAAACAAGGATAAGTTTAGTTTCACGAGATGTTGGCCTAAAGATGTTGTCAGATGATTCTGAAATCAAAGTGGTCAAGTCTCTATCAGTTGAAGAGAGTGAATACAAAAGTACTGACGATGCATCTGCCACTACAGATAATTCCAATGATGATATTACTGAAGTTTCTGTGGATGAAACCACAGCAAAAGAGACTGAATATATTGATGATGGACAGGCACCAAGTATACTTGATAAATCTCTGGCAACTTACCCTGATGAACATGATAGTGCTCGTGAATCTAATGATACAGAAATGGAGGACCAAAGCAAAAGTGAAGCTTCAGATATGAGTGTTGATCTTAAGGAAGATGTCTCCAATAATGCAGATAGTAGTAGTGAAGTTGGAGGTATGTTGCATAAACACATAGTCGAGAAAACAGTTACAGAAGCTTTTCAAATTTTGGAACATGATGAAAGAAACTTGTACGCTGACCAAGAGGAATCAGTATCATCAAACGAGCAAGTTGATGTATCTTCAGTCCTGAGTAAAAAAATCAGTAAAACTGAAGATGCCATTTATGAAAACACATTCGATCTATCTGAAGGATCAGAAGAAAGTGATACAAGATGTCCCCATCATGCAACATGTAGCTCTTCCTGTGTTCCTGTAAGAGATGACACAGACTTTACTGATCAGGTAACTTCAAGTATATCTGATGACCGTTTTGCTGGTGCTTTCTACTTCTCTGATGGTGGTTACAGACTCCTGAGAACTTTAACTGGTGGATCAAGAATTCCGTCCCTGGTAATAATTGATCCAGTTCAACAAAAACATTATATATTTCCCGAGGAAAGCGAGTATAGCTATGCTTCTTTACAAAATTATCTTGACAGTTTTATGAATCAAAGTCTTTCTTCATATTACCGTGTTACCTCATCAGCTATAAGTTCGAAGGAGCTTCCAAGACCACCTTTTGTTAATCATGATTTCCATGAGGCAAATTCGATCCCACAGTTAACAGCAAGTAGTTTTTGTCCATTAGTCTTTGGACCCAGAGGTTGTGATTCAAAAAGTGAAGCATCATCATTTTCAAACACTGAAAATATTGCATCTGGTTGGAACAAGGATGTAATGGTGCTTTTCAGCAACTCTTGGTGTGGGTTTTGTCAGCGAGCAGAGCTGGTGGTCCGTGAGTTACACCGATCATTTAAGAGCTTTTCGAGCTATTCAGATTCTGTATCTGCAAATGCTCAAGATGTCCACAATGAAGGTAATACCTGAATTACTTATACTGTTAGCTGACTGCTAACATTTTTCTTTTTCTTTAGAAATCAGTGAACTTTTGCTGCTGATTTGTTCTTTTTAGTTGGTATCCAGGGTCATGCTTTAAACTGCATTAGATCAGATTTGCATCTAATGCAAGTCATACAATTTTTCTAATGAGACTTCCCAGATGTCATGAGTGATCCAATGGTTCATGAGTGAAATGCAAGAAATATGTGCAAATTCATTTTCAAAGTTTTCAGTGACAGCAGTTGAACCTTAGTCATGTGTGGCCATAGGCAGTTGGACACTGGCTCCATCTCTTAATGTTCCAATTGTGAAACTGAAAAATGTAAAGAGATATAGTAACAAATAATTTGCATGTTGCAACATTACTGCAGGGCCATCCAAGCATATACATGTCACATCATTGCATCATAAAGCCAACAGAACCTGTCTACTGTACATATTTTATTTAAAGCTCAGAACATTAGCTAAGCATGATTCCTGTGTTCCTTGCATATCAAATATCAATCATTCATTGTGTATTAAAGAATCATCCTTTTGGTTGCAGAGAAAAGTGAAGAATATGTGATGAAGGGCTTTCCTGCGATTTACATGATAGACTGCACGTCAAATGAATGCCACCATTTACTAAAATCTGCAGGCATGGTAGTATTTTTAATTCTATTGAAGTTTGCTCCCTCCTGTAACAGAACAAATTCTGTAGCTATATTCAATTAAGAACTTTCTATATTTGGATATCATTCTTTAACATGAAATGGGTCAGATTAGTAGTCAGTGGCCTAGAGAATTAGGCGAACATTGCGTTTGGGAAACTCAAAATCTTTGTTGATAAGCCAGAGTAGTAGCATCCTATGCATGGAATATAAGCAGCATATAAGATATAAAGGGTCTCTTGTAATAACTTGTGTCAAAAGGTACTCGTATGAGCAACAGTCAGGCAAGACGTAGCTGTTTATCTAGATAGGTATACCTGCAGAAGACTTTACCATTTGACGTGGAAACAACTATGATGTCTACAATTCAGCCAGTGATGTTCAAATGATGGAGTTTGGACAAAAGCTTATATAGGGCAAATCTAATTGAATACTTGGGAATTTTTACCAGAGAGGGTTAATCTAGCAGTTTACTAGCGGTTGAACTCCAACTGGTGCAGAGTTATTCCTTCTGGGATTTCAAAGAACAGGGAGGGCAGGGCTGCCCCCTTTGGCCCCAACTAACCGTACTGACATCCAACGACCAGTTTTGTGAAGCTCATAGATTTTTAAAATTCCTTTTGATGTTGCTCAGATATAAGGAATGTTTGTTCTTAAGCCTCCTTAAACAACAATAAGAGCAACATAGCCTCCTTAGTTGCCTGAATGTTTTGGTACTAATGCACTTAATAGTACTACTGTATTGCGCTTTCATTTACACAGGAAGAACTTTATCCGACATTATTACTTTTCCCTGCGGAGAACAAAAGTGCAATAGCATATGAAGGGGGAATGTCAGTGCCTCATTTAATCGAATTTTTGGAGTCTCACTTTAGCAATTCTCGCCATCTATTGGAATATAAAGGTTAGTGGACAAACATCTTGTGACTGCATCTGTTCTACTTAAAATATTTGGATTTGCCTATAATTCTGTAATGTGTATTAGCTTACACTTTACAACACTATTGTTTCTTAGAAGTTGTGTTAATCTTCTCATACATGAAAGTATTAAGTATCTACCTTGCCCATGTGCTGTTCACCTGTCCGGCATACCAGCCTAGTTTACCATTCTTATCTAGACTGGCACCTGCTTGGCTGTGGATTACCTTGTTCTAGAAGTTCCCCAAACCTGAGGTGCCACCACACTAACGAGGATTTGTGCTGTTTGGTTCAGCATATTTGCCCCGTCATCGATTCACAGCTCTAAGAGATCACATTGCTTCACGTCTGGTTGGGCCTAGTATATACTCCCTCTGTCCCTTTTTATTTGTCATTCTCACTTCTCAAGAAGTCAAACATACTTAATTTTGACTAAAAATATAAAATAAAATATTAATATTTATAGTACATAATTAGTATCATTACAAATGTTGCTAATATTTTCTACAAACTTAGTCAAAATTGAGAAAGTTTGACTGGCACAATTCGCATGGCGACACTTAAATAGGGACGGAGGGAGTAATCTGTAACAGAGGGATCGGATATGGGATGTGCAACGCCGATACCACCCACCTCCCAGCGTTATCTGATTATCTCCTGTTCTCTGTCTCCACTCAGCTCTTGGATCGCCCCTACGCTTCGTGTGCTGCCAGCCTGTTTGTTCCCAGCCAACCTTTTACCTTTGTTGCTAGCCAAACAAGATTAAGGAAATGCAAGATGTTAAAAATCGAACCAAACAAATTCCGTTTTGCCTTACACTGTGACGGATTGCACTGCAACCTTATTGCATTAGCAGTACGACTCCCAGGACTGAACCAAACTGCACCATTAGTTGAATAGCTTTGCCCCTAAAGGCTTGTTATTGTGCGTCATCATCTATTTTGTTTTGTGTGTAATCATTCATTTTGTTTTCTGAATTCTTGACATTGTTTTCCTAGTATACTTGAAAAATCAATAGTTTTAAAAAATGTCACATGCATACCAACGCCTGAATGAAGATACCTGACCATATTTTTTGTGTGCACTTGTCAGTATTAGTTGGTACATACATGTTCTGAAGCCTATTTTCTTCTTGGTACTCAGGATTTATGTGGAAGAAGAGAATGACAACACAGCTCGATGCACCACAGGCAATTCAGTTCCAAGTCAGTGATAAAGGCAGCGGCAATGTTGGTTCTGAGTTATCAAGTCATCCAGATGTCGTTACAGGATCCATCCTTACTGCCACTGAGAAGCTTGGGACCGCAGTTCCATTTGATAATGCCAAAGTGCTCATTGTGTCATCTGATTCTCATGAAGGCTTTCATGGCTTGATCATCAACAAGCGATTAAGCTGGGGTGTCTTCAAGGATCTGGATAGCTCGATGGAGCCTATTAAGCATGCCCCACTTTTCTATGGTGGGCCTGTCGTGGTGCAAGGTTATCACCTTGTGAGCTTGTCAAGAGTAGCCTGGGAGGGGTACATGCAAGTAATACCAGGCGTCTATTACGGGAACATAGTTGCCACAAGCCGGGTAGTCACACGGATCAAGTTGGGCGAGCAATCTGTCGAAGACCTGTGGTTCTTCCTAGGCTACTCGGGGTGGGGATACAGCCAACTTTTTGATGAACTATCTGAAGGAGCATGGCTTGTTAGTGGGAAGCCGATTGAGCATTTGGACTGGCCGAAGAGTTGAAAGGATTCTCTGGACCTCAGCTGTTTCTTTAGGAAATTTTCAGTTCATCTTGCACATATCTGCCCACACTTCAACGTAACATTGTACTGAGTTTCTTTAGAGACATAGCAGCACTGTGTTTTCATAGCATTTACACACCGTACTATGGTCACAAATTTTTTATACATAGTATTTTTCTTTAATAATGAAGCCTTCGTTTTCTCTGTTCTTCCCTTTGATTTCATCTTTTGTTTGAGATTTTATCGGAAGTTTTATTTCCTTCACAATCTTGAGACGATTTAAGATGCTACCTTCACAACTCGTACAAATGGCGCACGAGTTAAATTATATATAGTTTCTAAATTTTAGCTTTATGAGATGGTTACTTCTTGAAACAACTCTCAGCTTTCTACCCCATCTCCATGTCATAAAGAAAGAAATTATTATGTGACATTGCATAAGACACCTATGAGGTTGCTAACATGTTCATTTATGTCAACTTTCTTCCCTACCTCCATATACCATAAAAGGATCTTATGTGATAGTGCTGGAGATGACTAAGACTTGATGTTTGGTTTGAGGAACCACTCCATGACTGTAACAGGGTGTTTGGTTTGAGGAACCACTCTATTCTAGATGAGGTGGTGTATCATGATTCACGAGTTGATTCCTCAAATTTGGTGAAATGGCTCTATTCCTCGTAGTAGTATCAATTATTGACTTACGAAAAACAAGGTGATGATGCATCATCTTATCCCATTCCAAAAAAAGAGTAAGGAATAAGTATAGATGATAAAATACCCATTCTTCAAACAAAACACCCTTTGTGGCGCTTTGTCTATCCAATGTGTATTCTGAGGCAAAAAGTCCATTTTAACTCCCCGAGCTATCCTCAAAGTCTAGTTTTCCTCCATGAACTTCAAAATCGGGTAAATCACCTCCCTCAACTTTTTAAACCGTTCATTTTGCCTCCTGACCCGGTTATATGTGGTTTTCAAAGGCGGTTTTGTCTTTTTCTTTTTTATTTATTTTGACTAAACTTTTAATAAATCATAGTAAATCACATAAAAATCATAAAATAAAAAAAATCCAATTTTGTTGGACTCCATGTGAGTTGATCTACACAGTGAATATATAATATGGTATGATTTAGTACAAAGTTTTTGTTATAGTTTTAGATCTATGCTTTTCTATAATTAATTAAAGCTACAGTTTCTATGGTCCAATTGTGGTGAAATTTTTATGGTGGACTAATTATTATACGATTAAACTTTAGTAAAAATCTCATGTTCATTGGATCATGTATAATTGAGTTATAGATTTATTTAGTTTATGCTTGTTAAATAGTTTTAAAATAGTTAAAAGTGTGTAAAATAGAAATTTGTATAAAATTTTTACTACAGTTAAAGCATACAATAGTTAGACCACCATAAAAATTTCACCACAATTGGATCACATAAATTACAACTATGAATTAATTACAGAAAAGCATAGATCTAAAGCTACAACAAAAACTTTATACTAAAGCATAGCATATTATATATTTGCTGTGTTGTTTTACTCATGTGGTCCAACAAAATTGGATTTTTCATTTTACGACTTTTCTGTGATTTACTATGATTTTTCAAATATTTAGTCAAAATAAATAAAAAAGACAAAACCGCCTTTGAAAACTATTTATAACTGGGTCAGTAAGATAAAATGAATGGTTTTAAAAGTTGATGGAGGGGGTTTACCCAGTTTTCGAGCCGAGAGAGGAAAACTAAACTTCAAGAACCGATCGGGGAGGTAAAATGGACTTTAAGATTACTAGCCTGTATAACGGTCAGGCTACGGCCCACGGGCCAATTTGAAGAAATCCAACCCGTATCTCTCTCTCTCTTCCACCCCGGTCTACCGCTGCTTTCTCTCGCGCGAGGCACGACGCTCATCGATTTCACAAAACCCTAGGCCCCAACTACCACCCAGACATGGCGACGCCGGCGTCGGCCGTCTCCGACGTGGGCGACCCACAGGTCGAAGAACCCTCTCAGGCTAAGGCAGCTGTCGTGGTGGAACCGGCGGCCGCCGCGGCGGAATTGGCAGGGGCATCCAATCCATCTACCGTCGCGGCGGCAGCCCCCGGAGATGTCTTGTCCGGCCCCGCGTCCGCCACCACTTCCGATCCTGCGGCGGCGCCTCCTCCCGCTTCTCCTGCCACGCCCACAGCGCCTCCTCCCGCTTCCCCTGCCCCGCCCGCAGCGCCAGGGCCGCCACGGCCGCAATTTGCAGGCTCTCTATCCTACATGGCGCCAGGGGCACCGTCTCCGTCGCCATCGCAGTCGCCAGCCTTTTCTTATAATGTACTGCCGAGGGCGCCACCAGCGCCGCAAGTTGGTGGCGGTGCAGCTTCACTACAACCATGCTCTTCTCCGGTAGGCATCTTGGCATATTCACTGCTGCAGCTTATACGTTTAAGGTTTTCTTTTTCTCTGTTGAGTTTCTGTGTATGACCACATGTTTAGTGTTGTAATTTTGTTTAGAATGAGAACGATGTTAGCTATTGCAACTGAACTCTACTGATTAGCTTTTATGATGAGCAGCGACCTTTGGGCCAGTCACAATAGTTGATCATTTCTGTATGCAATTGCAAACCATGTAAAGTCATAAACCTCTCTTGTGTGTCCTATAGAAACCTTTCTATATTCATGGGAACTCCATGCTCATAAATTAACCCGTGAATTTGCTAGCTGAATTGTAACACAGTATTTTGGTTTCTATATGGAGCTGATGACGTAGTAGTGGACTATTGCCAATGCCTTTTTAGCTTCAAAAAATGAAAAATGGCAGGCTAACCCATGCTTTGGGTTAAGTCATTGCCTATTTAACTATATGTCGCATAGCTCATGCTATTATTTTAGCGTTGTGATTTTCTTGTCATGCTAAAATACTTTATTTTGATCGAATATGATAGATAGCAAGACCAGTTTGTTATTTCTGTTGTATGTGATTAGTTTGAGGAGTCTTTGCATGAGGAATTTTTGAATTCTTCAAATGCCTAGAGAGTAGAAACCTACCCAGACAGTGATAGCTTTGCATTATGTCACATCTATAAATGCTTCATAATCAAAATTGATTATGGGAAAGCTGATAATGCAACTGACCTTCCACATCTCGCAGCCAATTTGACATTTTTTTGCATAGCCTGCAAAATTGTATGTAGAAGAATAAGGCCCTGTTTGGCACATAGTCGTAGTAAATGGGGTTGAGACCCTGTTCTATCCAGTTGGGGTTGATGAGGGTCGACGTCAGGATTCACGTAGGGTCACCACACTGTTGGTGCAGGGTCATCACACAGAACAAGAAGAGCAATACAAATCCCATTTTCTCACAAAGTAGATGAAGAAGCTTACACAGATCAAGGGTTTATTTCGAATTTCAATTTTTGACGAGAATCCATGATATCCAGATCAAGCTTGATGTTCTCCAGTGATGGGAGGAGAGGTGAGAATGGATGCTGCAGCGAAGGTTGAATGGGGATTGTGCGGCAGTGGTTTTAGGGGCGACGGAAAGGAATAAACGGGAGTACTTTGTTCTCATGGGCTGTTGTTTGAGGGGCGACGTGAGGTGGAGATGAAGGCAGTGCTACTGTTGAAGGACTCAAGAACAGATAACGATGTTGTTGCCTTGCCTCCGTGTGTGATGCATGCCCTGTATATGGGTTAGGGCAACTAGTGTTGGGCTGGTGGGCCAATATATGGCTGTCCAGCTAATCCTTTCCTTTTTCTTCTCTTTCTTTTTTCCTTTTTAAACATGTGATTGATTTACCGTTGGTCTGGTTACATATGAACACGTGCTTCAGTATAGCTCTTCATCCCCTGGCCATCAACCCAGATTGCTTGGGGTCATGTACCATGTTAGGAAGTATCATTCAAAGGAGCAGTCTCATCCCTTGATCTGAACGACCCAGAGTTCTGGTGACTATGGTTTCGCTTACCTTGCGCAGATTCCGCTTATTGGAGATCCTAGCGAAAAACAAATTCTGCTTATTTAATTCATTTTTAGATCTGCTTATTGATAAGCTGCTGTGGAATCCTGCCATTTGTAAAACAGAGCCTAATACAAAATTAGGATACTGACATCCCAAATTTACTATTCCGTGTGGAAGCAAAATATTTATGGTAAAATAGGATGGAATGATGGAAATTACAAACGAGTCAACTTAGTCCACAGTGCTCAATTTGGATTATTTACCTAATGTTGGCATTACCACTTATGTATGTCTCATGAGCTTTTTTCCCCTTTCCAGGCTCTTACGGTTGCTCCTATGCCTGCGTCAGCTCTTCAGCCACCAGCCCCAGGGCAATATTTTGGGAACAGACCTTCTTTTTCATATAACGTTGTTTCGCATGCTAATGCTAGATTGCCTACTGGTCAGCAGTTTCAACTTGACACTGTAATTTCTCATGGCTTTATTATCATTACCATTGTTGTATATACATTTTTTAATCTTAAGCTTGTGACCTGATCCTATTATCTGATGCACTAACACTTAATATATTTTTGCTTACACAGGGAGCAAATCTTGCTGGTCAAATTTCTAGATTTGTTCCACCAGGTTCCTTGCAGCCTCCCACCCCTGGGCACATAACTCACCCTAGTACAGCATTCCCAGGATCTATGGCACCAAATCCTCCTGGATCTATTCAGTTGCCTTTTTCAGTGCCAAGGCCATCCAGTATTCCTTGTGGTGCTAGTGCACAACAGGTGCAGTCACAAGCCTCCCAATTTCCATTAAGCACTATGCACCCTCTTTTTTCTTTGTATGTTTGAATCTTTGGATTGGAGTAAAGCATTGCTAACTTAATGATTTTTATTACATATAGGGCAACTCGGACATTAATAATTTGAAATTGGATGGCCCAAGTGCATCAGAGGTTACCCCCCATGCCATGCAGTTATCTACTGGCATGCCATCAAATTCTCCTTCAACAATTGCAAGTGCTTCTGGAAATCCTTCAATCCCTATTCAAACGCTAACA